AGAAGCCGTGGAGAACATTATGCTGCCTGAAACATCGTTCAGAATTACCGTTTTGGTGTTGGGTCAGTGATGGTCTAGGGAGGCATATCCATGGAGGGATGCACAGACTTCTACAAGCTAGACAATGGCACCCTGACTGCCATTAGGTATCAGAATGAAATCCTTGGACCCGTTGTCAGACCCTACACTGGTGCAGTGGGTCCTGGGTTCCTCCTGGTGCACGACAATGCCCGGCCTCATGTGGAGAGAGTTTGCACGCAGTTCCTGGAGGATGAAGGAATTGATACCATTGAATGGCCCCCACGTTCACCTGACCTAAATCCAATAGAACACCTCTGGGATATCATGTTTCTGTCCATCCAATGCCACCAGGTTGCACTTCAGACTGTCCAGGAGCTCAGTGATGCCCTGATCCAGATCTAGGAGGAAATACCCCAGGACACATCCGTCGTCTCATTAGGAGCATTCCCCAACGTTGTCAGGCATGCATACAAGCACGTGGGGGCCATACAGACTACTGAGGACCATTTTGAGTTGATGCAATGAAATTTCAGCAAAATGGACTTGCCTGCTGCATCATTTTTTCACTTTGATTTTCGGGGTGTCTTTGACTCCAGTCCTCTGTGGTTTGACCATTTTCATTTCCAACAAACGATGGGGCATCGTTATGTTCCTAACACATTACCCAGTCCATATCAGTAGAGATATCCAGCAGGAGATTTCTCCCCATTGAGATCTGATGTGTTTTCAAAGTGTTCCTTTCATTTTTTGAGCAGTGTATATATACTGTTTATATGTATATATATATATATATATATATATATATATATATATATATATATATAAAATGTATGGCTAGCCTTAGTTTGTGCACATTTTCTCTCTTGTCTTGATATTTATTGTAATGTCAAGAAACCTAATTCAAAAAATGGATTTAAAAAATGCAATACCTTACCTAATTTTTGCTGAATGTATAGATGCCCTCCAGCTTTCTATACACTCCCAGTAGACGTGGGACTGATTTGAATCTGAGGATGGAGGGGGGAGAGAGGGCAAGCTAATACTCAGAGCAAACACAAAAAGTCAGCCTTTAATCTGCTATGTGTTGCAAAAAAAATCATTAAATGCATTTTAAAACACTACTAGTATGATATATGTGTCTTTTTATTGAATTTTCCTAATTCCTGGCTAGGTTCACACGTATGCAGTTTGCGTTTGATCTGTTTCTGCAGTGCGTTGTGTGTTTTTGCATATGCATTTTTGACGCGTTTTGCGTTGTTTTTTCATTTTTTTTTCTTGTTGTTACGCAGATTAAAACGCATTTAAAAAAGCAGCAAAAACACACCATATGCTTTTCTGCAGTGCCTCTATTGAGATCTAAAGAACCAAAAATGCAAGTTTTTGTGCTTAACAAAGTCCTTGACCCTTTTCAAAAAACGCACCGGGTGAAAACGTGGAGATGTGAACATGTCCCATAGGAAACCATGTTAAATGGACTGTACTGCGTTTCTGCAAAATGCTGCAGAAAACACATAGATGTGAACTGAGACTAAGTGTGAGAGAAGGAGGACCAACACTTTCAGCCAGTCAAGTTTTTTTTTTTTTTTTGCATAACATCATGATGGTGACAAACACAGCTAAATAAATGTTTGAAATACATATTTGGGAGCCAATTTACCTTCCAAAAGGGTTTTGTATTTCTGTCCACCCATTTCTGATGTGTACACAATCCTGCCAGACAGTAGAGTTGGTTGGTGACCTGTCTTTTCTCTACTGTAATACATCTAGGTCACCAGCCTGTGATTGGACAGTGAAGGAGAAGCTGCAGACTGATAAGCCCATCCCTCTGCTCTCTTCACCTGTCTGCATGTTCCTTTTCAGCACATGAGCAATGCACAACACTTAATTGGCCTCTATAGTTGCCTTACCCTCTCCCTGTCTGAGTTCCACTGTACAGGGGATTACAATAGGCTGATACCATGTCCTATTTGGATACTTACAGTAGCTGCTTTTGAAAATACACATATTATTATTATTATACACGTATTATTAACACAAGCATTGTTGATTTACTTGGGGCGGTTTATCTATCTGGAGTTCAGTTTCAAATGCAAAAAATGTATCATCTTTTGTTCCAAGTAGGTACTCAAACCTTTGAGCGCAACTTCCCCTCCAGCTTCCCCTTATACGTACCTGAGCCCAATCTCGATCCAGCGATGTACATGAGAGCAGCAACTCTCTCTTTTTTTTTTCCAAACACATTTTTATTGAGTGTATATTTAGCTGACAATTGAACCATAAAATGTACAAAGAAAAGCCCCAAGACGGGGTGTTTAACGATACATACAATCGCAGAAAAACGGAACAAAAAGAAAAACAGGAAAGATGGAGAACCTTGCAGCTCTATGTAGAACTAATACTCTAAATGGATAGCAGGGGCGGACTGACAACTCATGGGGCCCCCGGGCAATAGGGGATCATGGGGCCCCTATGTCCTTGCCCAACTCAAAAAAGCCTATGAAAAAGGTACCAGGGGCATCTCATGGGGCCCCCTACTGACCCCGGGCCCTCGGGCAGTGCCCGAATTTCCAAATGGTTTGTCCGCCCCTGGTCCTCGGACTTCCACCATCTACAGCACTCTAGGCTTACTCTGGGATGGCTGCCACTTAAGCGGTTATACAGTTATGGACATTATGGACTCATGGACTTTTTGTATATTTACAGGATATGAGCCACTAGTGCGCTGAGAGAGTTTTTTTTTTATATATTTAGATTTTTTTTTTTGCCATCTGTGTCCCAATGGGGAGATTTTTCTTCACTTCACTTCCAAACTCAAAAAAGCCTATATAAAAGGTACCAGGGGCATCTCATGGGGCCCTTTACTGACCCAGGGCCCTCGGGCAGTGCCCGAGTTTCCAAATGGCCAGGAAGTTATGACATTGACAATCAAATCCTGCAGCAATCCTATCAGATATAAATGAGAAACGTAGTTGAGCTTGTGTATCCTCAATAATGTAACTAGAGAGCAGCAACTCTCTTGGCTCTTTCTCTACTTACTGGCTCATAGACAGCCATCGGCTGGGTAGGAGGGGGACAAGGTCAAGCCTCACTTTGTGTGTCAATGGACACACACAGCCAGCTCAAAAGTGTGTCAATGGACACACACAGCTAGCATGAAAGTGTGTATGCACAAGTGTCCCCATAGCAAGCGGCTTGCTATAGGGGCACTCAGCAGTCGGGAGGAGCTAGGAGTGCCAGTGTGGGGGACCCGCAAAGAGAAGAATCAGAGCTGCTCTGTGCAAAACGATTACACAGAGAAGGTAAGTATAACATGTTTGCTGAATTTTTTTGCCTTCCTCCGGATCAACTGTAGGTATAGGATTATAACTTTTTTTTTTTTTAATGGTTGAACTGGATGGACTTTTGTCTTTTTTCAGCCAGACTAACTATGTAACTATGTAAAAGGCTTTAAAATCACTTTAATTTTTGTCTTTTATATCTGCCTGTGATCCAGCTTTAAACACTGTATCGGCACTGAGCATCAGTTCTATCGGAAATAAGTAACTGAATTGTATTTACTGTTTTCCAGTGAACGGCTTCAGGCCTACATTTTTAGTTAAAACCCTACTTAACCTCCGAGCACTCAACACAGGATTAAAACAGGTTTGTTACAACAGTGCTGTAATATGCTTGCATTTTTGTTTTTCATCTCTAGCTCTCTTCCACCCAAACCGGAATCAGAATCCTAGGGCAGTATTCTCTTTATGTAGAGCACAGTAAAAGAAAAAAAAAATCTGGCTACAATTAATTACAGTGAAACAATACAGCAAAATGCATTTATGAGATTCGATCGGCAGACTTTATTCAATAACAGTAATTTGTTTTTAAGATACATTTCATTTGTTGTAAATTGAAAAGTATCATTTGCTTCTGCTTACCATGCAGGATGGAAAGGTGACTGCTGAGCTGGTAAAACAGAACATTACACGTCTTACCTCGCTACCCACTCCTATTTATTTTCTTGGATGGTGAGCAGCTCCGTTTAATCCTCATGCAATAAACCAGCGGTACATTTTTTTACAGTGAGAGGCATTTCCTACCTGCTAAAACAAAAAAAGCACAAGAATGCTTTATGAACTTTTATTTAGAGCTGCACTTCATTTTTGGTTAACTTTTAGAAGAAAAAAAAAAAAATAAACCATGATTTTTTTTCAAAGTCTAGAATTTTGAAATCTTTCATCTTTATTTAAAATCTGTATTCCAAAAGGAAAAAAACCTGTAAGGCTTCATGTACATGTGCCTACCCTGAACGCTGGCCGCAGAAAAACGTAAATCGTGTCAAAAATGTGTTTTACCATGGTTTTGACATGTTTTGTGGTTTTCCGCAGTCAAAACGTTCCTATCCTGAATGTGATTGTTCCGTGTTGAGGAAATGGAGGTTTAACCTCACCTAAACGCGGCAGCACTTAACCTCTCTAGCAGTCTGATTATGTCCATATTTATGTGCTCAAAGCGGTACATTTTTTTGCATGGAAATATGTCTTTTTTTTATTGTAGGCCTGTAATTTTTAGGAATAACTCACTGAAATCTGTCCGAACAAGAGTCTAGTAAACATTCCGGGTATGATAAAACTTGAAACATGAAATCATAAATTATAATTTAATAAATAATCATAAAAAATAATTATATAATAATAATAAATTTAATTCAATAATATAATCAAACCAAAAACACTGAAATTTGAAATATAGCGCCAAGTTTGCACATCACTGAGCAAAGTCGTAGAATCGTTTTCAGTGTCTGATGAGGAATTTCCCCACGAATCATTATCACTCAATTCTGCAAGTAGTTCTAATGTACTATCGCTGTTCTCTAGCCGGTCTAAAACCGCTTTTGACCTAAAGGGACACTTTTTGGACGCCATGGACATTTCTCAGTTTCGAGGCAGAAAGAACAGTAAAAATGCAGGCAGGGCACCGGACAAAGCACTCGGGACAAAATGTATGTGAAATGGTTTGATACAGTAATGTTTTACTATGTGATTTTAGTGTATTTAGTGAATGTCACTTTTTGTCATTTTCAAATTTCCCGCCGTTCTGTTCCCGTACGTCCCGACGCTCGCAGGGAACGCAACCCAGATGACAGATGCCGGCATCCGCCGGATTACATTGCCGGGGACACTGCAGGAGGGACATCGCGGGAGCGAAGGACAAGGAGCAGCGCCGCATGGTAAGTCCGAGTGTAACTCGGGGTTACCGCTTGTGGTACTGAAACTTTACCCCGAGCTACACTCGGGAATACCGCCAGGGGGGTTAAACTCTGCTAAAAGCCTATGTGTACATGGACACATAGGCTTTTATGGAGTTGAGTTTAGGAGCTTTGGCAAAAAAATGCCAAAATCTCCTAAACTCGACTTTTGGAGATGCTCGTGTTCATGAAGCCTAACTGCTTAACTAATGCAAGTCCGGACACTTTCACCCCCTTCCAGTCCAGGCCAATTTTCAGCTTTCAGTGCTATCAGAATTTGAATGACAATTGTGCAGTCATGCAACACTGTACCCATATGAATTTTTTAGAATTTTTTTGAGACAGATAAAACTTTATTTTGGTGGTATTTATTCACCACTGGGATTTTTATTTTTTTTTGCTATATAAATGAAAAAGTCCAAATTTAAAAAAAAAAATGTTTTTCTTATAAATATTTGCAAATAAATAATCTTTTTTCATAAATCTTGGCCAAAATGTATTCATCTATCTTAACCAAATTAGTTTATAACCAAAAATTATAATTTTTCAAAAAATGTTTTTACATTTTTATTTTTTTTATATTATTATGTATGGGTTTTTTTTAACATACTGTCACCCTAGCACAGGAGCGGACTGACCATTTGGAAACTCGGGCACGCCCGAGGCCCGGGGTCAGTAGGGGACCCCATGAGATGCCCCTGGTACCTTTTTCATATGCTTTTTTTGAGTTTGGGCAAGGACACAGGGGCCCCATGATCCCCTATTGCCCGAGGGCCCCATGAGTTGTCAGTCCGCCCCTGCCCTAGCAGTACAGTGTCACCATAATGACACTGTACTACTTGTGGGGGGTGATGAAGATTTTTTTATCATTTTTTTACACTGATTGCTTTTACTCATTTCTCCTTATCTCTAGCTGCATTCCTGCAGCCATTGAGAAATACTGTGTGAGCTATGATTGGTCACAGCTTGTCACACGGTACAAGGCTGTTTTGAATAGCCTTGTACCATGTGACCTCTGTGATCATTCACAGATTTCACAAGTAGTAAGCAATGATGTCAGATAGTGACATATTGTTTACTACTGTTCATGTGGTCACTGATTGGCCAGTCAGTGATCACATGAACCAGGACTTCACATAGAGGTCCCGTACAGCGATCTGTGTTTTGCCGTGTGCTCCGGACACAGCGGGCACCGATTGCGGTGCCGCAAGCTCCCAGGGAGCGCGCACAGGCAATGGATGTGGAGGGGCGTTTAGAAATGTCCACCCGCATTGGCAGCACTCCTGTCCAGGGGCGGACTGACAACTCATGGGGCCCCCGGACAATAGGGGATCATGGGGCCCCTGTGTCCTTGCCCAAACTCAAAAAAGCCTATGAAAAAGGTACCGGGGGCATCTCATGGGGCCCCCTACTGACCCTGGGCCCTCGGGCAGTGCCCGAGTTTCCAAATGGTCAGTCCGCCCCTGCTCCTGTCCCAGTCCAACATGGGCTGGACGGAAAGAGGTTAAAAAAATTAGATGCAGTTTGTCTTCAATTTGTTAATGTATTTAAATCTGCTAGTGCATCTAACACTTCCCTGTCCCCAGACTGACAATGCTGCTGTCAAAATCTACCGCCCAGTGGTCCTTCATCCAGAGTAGAGGCACTCTTATACAGGAGGTTAAATACGCCCCTTGAGGGTTAGGCATTGATGTGAATATATAATATATATGTAAAGCAGGGGTGGACTGACCATTTGAAAACTCGGGCACTGCCTGAGGGCCCAGGGTCAGTAGGGGGTCCCATGAGATGCCCCTGGTACCTTTTCCATAGGCTTTTTTGAGTTTGGGCAAGGACACAGGGGCCCCATGAACCCCTATTGCCCGGGGGCCCCATGAGTTTTCAGTCTGCCCCTGATGTAAAGCACTGCATAAATTAATGATGCTATATAAGTACCTGTAAAATAATAAATACAAAAACCCAGTAGTTTTGCTTGTAAATCATTGGATGGTAGAAGTCAGCAGAGCTTCACCTTGGTCACTAAGCTAGGGAAAAATTCCCTTGCAAAGTATTTGTCCTAATAAATCTTCCCCATAGAGTGACAGAATGTAAACTCCTCTTGATTCATGGATACAAAGAATTCAGTTTTCCTACTTCAGATGTGTTCAGATCTTGGACATACTCAGGCACACAGGTAACCGCAAATAAGCCACAGTTTTTTTTTATTTTTTATGTGTGTAGAAGTGTGCTAGTGTGACCCCCCATTACCCAATCAGTGTTTTTCTTGGAATATGTTGATCTTTTCGAGTTTACAATAAGTGGTCATTTAAATGCAAGATGTGCTTAGCGGAGTCATTCTTTAAGTGACGGTTTCCACATTGTGAGTCAGCAATGCAGACGCTCTGTCTGTACACTAGATATTTAGACATTTAGATATTAGTCATTTTATTTTGCAATGCTTTCATGAATACCAAGCCAGCCAGCCGCTGTTATGAAACGTATTAGATCAGTGCCTAAATTCATCATAGACAGATGGCTAATTTGACTAAACCAACTTCCCTACACAGGAGCAATTCCACTGCTTGTTGTGTTGCTGTGATAAGGCTGCTGCATCCACATGTCCATCGATCAGTTTCACAGACATTTGTACAGGATCCAGTTGGGATGTTTTAAAGTATACACCATGTCCTGTAATATAACACCCAAGGGTGCTGGACCATTGGACTCATTTACTGAGGCGGTGCAAAGAGCAGCGACGATAGAAACATTCATAGATTCTTCCCACGGGCTGCTATTTGATATGCTGGGCAGAATGAATGCCAACCATCTGGACAGAATGATCCCCATAAGGCACCACTGCCTTTTTTTTAAGGACGCATACTGATACCAGGTTTCACCAGCAGGTGGTAATCTAAGAAAACATCTGTAACTGCAGACCGCGGACATGGGAAAATCTGAAAGTTGAAGAACACACAGAAGGATCACAAACAGAGAAGGAGTTTTCATAAGCTGCATAGATAACAGATTGATCATTTTTGTGTCAAAAATTTGTGCCCAGATGTTTTAGCACAGGTTTGGCATATGATAAGAAGGACAGAATAGTGCATTTTTGTTGTAATTGTTTTCATCAAAATAATAACTAAGGGTTATGGACTTAGGTTTAGGGTTAAGTTCAAAAAGTACACAAGAAAAGCGCAAAAATGAGTAAATCAATCGAAAAATGCCCTTGGAATACTGATAGCACAAGTCCTTAAAAATCCAATGTATTAACAGAGGACATGATTTAAAAGTTGCAGCACCTTGCTGGAGCAGGATAAATCCCACTAATACACATACAGTATAAAACAAAGAGAAGAAGAGAGGGCGCCATCATCTAAGTGTTTTAGGATTTATTTTAATAAATCTACACTTAGATGGTGGTGCCCTCTCTTCTATTTGTTTACGGTTAGGTTCAGTTAAAGTATAACTGAAGGCAAAACCTTTTTACTGTTGGATAGTGTAGAGCACAGGTGTCAAACTGGCCACCCTCCAGCTGTTGCCAAACTACAAGTCGCATGAGGCATTGCAAGATTGACAGTTACAAGCATGACTCCTAAAGGTAAAGGCATGATGGGACTTGTAGTTTCGCAATAGCTGGAGGGCTGCCAGTTTGACACCCCTGGTGTAGAAGGATTAGAGCACCTATCAGGTTTGTTATTACTGAAAGTGAAAATGAAAACAATCCCCTAAATTATGAGTGGTCAGCAAAACAAGAATAGGGGGGGGGGGGGGGGGGTCTTCCAATGAGGACACTAGTTCTTGTAACCCTGGTCACTACCAGGGATTTCTCTCACTTTGGAGGGTGTTCTACTCACTTTCTTTTATGGTTATATGGAAGGAAGTGAAGGGAAACCTTCCTAGTGAGACATAGATGGCAAAGAAAAAAAAAAACTACTAGATGTTCTGTACTCTATTCAAAACGTTTTGCCTTCAGTTCTACTTGAAGGTTTAGTTTTAGATGTTGGGTTAGGGTAAGAGTTGGGGGTTAGGGTAAGGTTTTGATGTTGAGTTATGGTTAGAGATAGGGTTAAGTTAACACTTAGGGTTAGGTTTAGGTGTTGGGAGAAAGTTAGAGGTAAGGTTAAGGTGTTGCATTTTGGTTAGAGATAGGGTTGGGTAAAGGTTTAGGGTTAGGTTTAGGCATTGAGTTATGGTTACAGATAGGGTTAGGCTAATGTTTAGGCTTAGGTGTGAAGTTATGGCTAAAGTTTGTGGTTACGTTAAGGTTTGGTTCAGGTTTTTGGATTATGGGTTAAAGTTAAGTGTTAGTTTGAAGTTGTTACCTTTAAGGGCTCATTCACACTTGACTAATTTTTAACTCTTGCCAAACGCCCCTAAAGCATTTGACAGGCATTATACAGGAGTTTGAGAAGTTTTTTTAACGCTCCCCAAACGCCCTATGTGCATTTTTGAGACATTTGATAGGTGTTTTCCAAGCGTTAAAACTGTACCACAAACGCCTATAATGAAATTTAATGGTATTAACGCTCCACAAACGCCTTGCGAACGCCCCACAAATGCCTGCCAGGTGTTTGAGGAGCTCACGATAGACTTGAATGGGAGGCTTCAACTCCTCCTGACTGGACTGGAAGTCTGCAATAGTCCCTCTATCTTCTATATTGAGGAGAATTGATATGGTCATGCTCATGGAAAGAATCTATTATACATTGCAGGATAAGATGCATCTGTTTACTTGAAATGGAATGCATGGAAAACTCATCTGCATATATTGTTTGATTGAACCTCAGGTGTATTTTTGAATGTATTATTGCATTATTTGTATTTTGGATGTCTAGCTGATTTAACATGTTCTTCCTGTTGTCCTTTCAACTTACTGTTAACTATGTCCATCTAATTGAATTTGTTCATACTTTTGCCAAAAACGTATTGAATGTAAATCTGTATCTGTAAATCATTCAATAAATAGTTGAAAACAAAAAAAGTTAGAGTGAGGCTAAGGGTAACTATTTTCCATGTTCGAATTTCAGAATCCAAAATGTATTTATTGAGTGTGACAACGGTTTACATGTGTATAAGCAGCTGGCAGAGACAG